GCAGAACACCAACACCTGAACCTCTACAGGGGGCAGAACACCAACACCTGAACCTCTACAGTTAAAGGGGCGGTTGATTATAATTTCACTTTTCTAACTCTAGTTAGTGTGTAATGTTGCTGTGTGAGCATAAACAACATCTGCAAAGTTATGATGCTCAAAGTTCAAAGCAAAGGGAGATATTTTCTTTTAAAGAAATATCTTTTTTAGGACTACAACAAACGGCTGATTTACACATTACACAACATTCCTCCAGGGTTAGTGACATCACTAACTCTAACATTTACATAAACCCCGCCCCCAGGAATGCGATTTATAGATTATCATGACAGAATATGCTAATCAATGACTAGAAGATAGTAAACTCCACATCAGCTGCATAAACTCATCAACTAACCACTACATGTCACTTCTTGAGTCTCTCCGTCTTTGTCTGACTCCGGTTTGAACATAAAAGGCTAAAGGTTTTTGAAATGTTCAGTGCATGTTTGTGTGAGGTAATCGAAGCTGCTAAGGACACGAGCTCTTGAAGCTCCGCCCCCTGTGCCGGGAGCAGCAGCTCATTTGCATTTAAAGGGACACACAAAAAACTGTGTGTTTTTACTCACCCTCAAAAAGTGACAATTTGAACATGCTATATAAAAATATCTGTGGGGTATTTTGAGCTAAAACTTCACATACACACTTTCTGGGGACATCAGAAACTTATTTTACATCTGAAAAAGGGCAAAGGGCATTGTACCACCCCTTTAATGGACCACTTGCACTGAGCTTCGTGACGCACTTCCGTTTTGAAAACTTATTTCTGGTTATGTAATCATTGAGTTGACTAAACGCCACCTAACATGAGTGTCTGCTAGAAGATTTAATAGGCAGGAGAAGGGATATTCTGATGTTTACTGTGTACAGAATTTTCCAAACTCATCGGAACATGAAGTTTTAATCGCTGTTGCCGGAAACTCCCGAGATGTAATTAGTAGAACGCGGAAGTAGTGCAGGTAGTCCATTAATCAGACTCACGTGTTCAGCGCTGGTGTGTGTAAGCGACTCACGTGTTCAGCGCTGGTGTGTGTAAGCGACTCACGTGTTCAGTGCTGGTGTGTGTAAGAGACTCACGTGTTCAGTGCTGGTGTGTGTAAGCGACTCACGTGTTCAGCGCTGGTGTGTGTAAGCGACTCACGTGTTCAGTGCTGGTGTGTGTAAGAGACTCACGTGTTCAGTGCTGGTGTGTGCAAGAGACTCACGTGTTCAGTGCTGGTGTGTGTAAGCGACTCACGTGTTCAGCGCTGGTGTGTGTAAGCGACTCACGTGTTCAGCGCTGGTGTGTGTAAGCGACTCACGTATTCAGCGCTGGTGTGTGTAAGCGACTCACGTGTTCAGCGCTGGTGTGTGTAAGCGACTCACGTGTTCAGCGCTGGTGTGTGTAAGCGACTCACGTGTTTAGCGCTGGTGTGTGTAAGTGACTCACGTGCTCAGCGCTGGTGTGTGTAAGAGACTCACGTGTTCAGTGCTGGTGTGTGTAAGCGACTCACGTGTTCAGTGGTGTGTGTAAGCGACTCACGTGTTCAGTGCTGGTGTGTGTAAGTGACTCACGTGTTCAGCGCTGGTGTGTGTAAGCGACTCACGTGTTCAGCGCTGGTGTGTGTAAGCGACTCACGTGTTCAGTGCTGGTGTGTGTAAGAGACTCACGTGTTCAGTGCTGGTGTGTGTGTTCAGTGCTGGTGTGTGTAAGAGACTCACGTGTTCAGTGGTGTGTGTAAGAGACTCACGTGTTCAGTGCTGGTGTGTGTAAGAGACTCACGTGTTCAGTGCTGGTGTGTGTAAGAGACTCACGTGTTCAGCACTGGTGTGTGTAAGTGACTCACGTGTTCAGCGCTGGTGTGTGTAAGAGACTCACGTGTTCAGTGGTGTGTGTAAGACACTCACGTGTTCAGTGGTGTGTGTAAGAGACTCACGTGTTCAGTGCTGGTGTGTGTAAGCGACTCACGTGTTCAGCGCTGGTGTGTGTAAGCGACTCACGTGTTCAGTGGTGTGTGTAAGAGACTCACGTGTTCAGTGCTGGTGTGTGTAAGCGACTCACGTGTTCAGTGCTGGTGTGTGTAAGAGACTCACATGTTCAGTGCTGGTGTGTGTAAGTGACTCACGTGTTCAGTGCTGGTGTGTGTAAGCGACTCACGTGTTCAGCGCTGGTGTGTGTAAGAGACTCACGTGTTCAGTGGTGTGTGTAAGAGACTCACGTGTTCAGTGCTGGTGTGTGTAAGCGACTCACGTGTTCAGTGCTGGTGTGTATAAGAGACTCACGTGTTCAGCGCTGGTGTGTGTAAGCGACTTACGTGTTCAGCGCTGGTGTGTGTAAGCGACTCACGTGTTCAGCGCTGGTGTGTGTAAGCGACTCACGTGTTCAGTGCTGGTGTGTGTAAGAGACTCACGTGTTCAGCGCTGGTGTGTGTAAGCGACTCACGTGTTCAGCGCTGGTGTGTGTAAGCGACTTACGTGTTCAGTGCTGGTGTGTGTAAGAGACTCACGTGTTCAGTGCTGGTGTGTGTAAGTGACTCACGTGTTCAGTGCTGGTGTGTGTAAGCGACTCACGTGTTCAGTGGTGTGTGTAAGAGACTCACGTGTTCAGCGCTGGTGTGTGTAAGTGACTCACGTGTTCAGCGCTGGTGTGTGTAAGCGACTTACGTGTTCAGCGCTGGTGTGTGTAAGCGACTCACGTGTTCAGCGCTGGTGTGTGTAAGCGACTCACGTGTTCAGTGCTGGTGTGTGTAAGAGACTCACGTGTTCAGTGCTGGTGTGTGTAAGCGACTCACGTGTTCAGTGGTGTGTGTAAGAGACTCACGTGTTCAGCGCTGGTGTGTGTAAGTGACTCACGTGTTCAGCGCTGGTGTGTGTAAGCGACTCACGTGTTTAGTGGTGTGTGTAAGAGACTCACGCGTTCAGTGCTGGTGTGTGTAAGAGACTCACGTGTTCAGTGCTGGTGTGTGTAAGAGACTCACGTGTTCAGTGCTGGTGTGTGTAAGAGACTCAATTGTTCAGTGCTGGTGTGTGTAAGAGACTCACGTGTTCAGTGCTGGTGTGTGTAAGAGACTCACGTGTTCAGTGCTGGTGTGTGTAAGAGACTCACGTGTTCAGCGCTGGTGTGTGTAAGAGACTCACGTGTTCAGTGGTGTGTGTAAGAGACTCACGTGTTCAGCGCTGGTGTGTGTAAGCGACTCACGTGTTTAGTGGTGTGTGTAAGAGACTCACGTGTTCAGTGCTGGTGTGTGTAAGAGACTCACGTGTTCAGTGCTGGTGTGTGTAAGAGACTCACGTGTTCAGTGCTGGTGTGTGTAAGAGACTCACGTGTTCAGTGCTGTTGTGTGTAAGAGACTCACGTGTTCAGTGCTGGTGTGTGTAAGAGACTCACGTGTTCAGCGCTGGTGTGTGTAAGAGACTCACGTGTTCAGTGCTGGTGTGTGTAAGAGACTCACGTGTTCAGTGCTGGTGTGTGTAAGAGACTCACGTGTTCAGTGCTGGTGTGTGTAAGAGACTCACGTGTTCAGCGCTGGTGTGTGTAAGAGACTCACGTGTTCAGTGCTGGTGTGTGTAAGAGACTCACGTGTTCAGCGCTGGTGTGTGTAAGAGACTCACGTGTTCAGCGCTGGTGTGTGTAAGAGACTCACGTGTTCAGTGCTGGTGTGTGTAAGAGACTCACGTGTTCAGTGCTGGTGTGTGTAAGAGACTAACGTGTTCAGTGCTGGTGTGTGTAAGAGACTCACGTGTTCAGCGCTGGTGTGTGTAAGCGACTCACGTGTTCAGCGCTGGTGTGTGTAAGCGACTCACGTGTTCAGCGCTGGTGTGTGTAAGCGACTCACGTGTTCAGCGCTGGTGTGTGTAAGAGACTCACGTGTTCAGCGCTGGTGTGTGTAAGAGACTCACGTGTTCAGCGCTGGTGTGTGTAAGCGACTCACATGTTCAGTGCTGGTGTGTGTAAGTGACTCACGTGTTCAGTGCTGGTGTGTGTAAGAGACTCACGTGTTCAGCGCTGGTGTGTGTAAGAGACTCGCGTGTTCAGCGCTGGTGTGTGTAAGAGACTCGCGTGTTCAGTGCTGGTGTGTGTAAGCGACTCACGTGTTCAGCGCTGGTGTGTGTAAGTGACTCACGTGTTCAGCGCTGGTGTGTGTAAGAGACTCACGTGTTCAGCGCTGGTGTGTGTAAGCGACTCACGTGTTCAGTGGTGTGTGTAAGCGACTCACGTGTTCAGTGCTGGTGTGTCTAAGAGACTCACGTGTTCAGTGCTGGTGTGTGTAAGCGACTCACGTGTTCAGTGGTGTGTGTAAGCGACTCACGTGTTCAGTGCTGGTGTGTGTAAGCGACTCACGTGTTCAGTGCTGGTGTGTGTAAGCGACTCACGTGTTCAGTGCTGGTGTGTGTAAGAGACTCACGTGTTCAGCGCTGGTGTGTGTAAGCGACTCACGTGTTCAGCGCTGGTGTGTGTAAGAGACTCACGTGTTCAGCGCTGGTGTGTGTAAGCGACTCACGTGTTCAGTGCTGGTGTGTGTAAGCGACTCACGTGTTCAGTGCTGGTGTATGTAAGCGACTCACGTGTTCAGCGCTGGTGTGTGTAAGAGACTCACGTGTTCAGCGCTGGTGTGTGTAAGCGACTCACGTGTTCAGTGCTGGTGTGTGTAAGTGACTCACGTGTTCAGCGCTGGTGTGTGTAAGAGACTCACGTGTTCAGTGCTGGTGTGTGTAAGAGACTCACGTGTTCAGTGCTGGTGTGTGTAAGCGACTCACGTGTTCAGTGCTGGTGTGTGTAAGAGACTCACGTGTTCAGCGCTGGTGTGTGTAAGAGACTCACGTGTTCAGTGCTGGTGTGTGTAAGCGACTCACGTGTTCAGTGCTGGTGTGTGTAAGAGACTCACGTGTTCAGTGCTGGTGTGTGTAAGCGACTCACGTGTTCAGTGCTGGTGTGTGTAAGAGACTCACGTGTTCAGTGCTGGTGTGTGTAAGCGACTCACGTGTTCAGTGCTGGTGTGTGTTGGCGAGCTCTTGTTCTCTGACAGCGACTCTGGAGAAAGACTCTCGCTGCTGCTCTCCTCCTCAAACACATACGAGTCCTCGGGCCTCGGGAGCTTCCCATGGGAACCTGAGAGAAGAGGGACAGTGAGATACGAGAGACACACACACACAGGTTAAGGAGACACAGAGGGATGAGAGGGACTCACACACACACACGGATAACAGATCAATCCGAGAAGACTAACAGAGCAGAGATTACTCTCACTTACACACAGTCGTGCGTGTGTGTGTGTGTGTGTGTGTGTGTGTGTGTCAGCTGAGACGATGGACATCTAAACGCCTGCAGTGTTTAAGTACAAGGCTCCGAATCTGTGTAAATATTTGAGTAAAAGTCTGTATGCGTCTGATGGATGTGCTACTGTTGAACACTCTTACTTACACACAGACGTGTGTGTGTGTGTGTGTGTGTGTAATGGGTAGGTTTAGGGGTCGGGTTAGTGTGTGTGAGTGTGTGTGTGGTGTGTGTGTGTGTGTGTGTGTGTGTGTGTGTGTGTGTGTGTGTGTGTGTGTGTGTGTGTGTGTGTGTGTGTGTGTGTGTGTGTGTGTGTGTGTGTGTGTGTGTGTGTGTGTGTGTGTGTGTGTGTGTGTGTGTGTGTGTGTGTGTAATGGGTAGGTTTAGGGTCGGGTTAATGTGTGTGAGTGTGTGTGTGGTGTGTGTGAGTGGCTGGTATGGTGTGTGTGTGTGTGTAATGGGTAGGTTTAGGGGTCGGGTTAGTGTGTGTGAGTGTGTGTGTGGTGTGTGTGAGTGAGTGGTAGGGTGTGTGTGTGTGTGTGTGTGTGTGTGTGCGTGTGTGGGGGGGGGTAGGGTTAGTGTGTGTGAGTGTGTGTGTGGAGTGTGTGACTGTGTGGTAGGGTGTGTGTGTGTGTGTGTGTGTAATGGGTAGGTTTAGGGTTCGGGTTAGTGTGTAAGTGTGTGTGTGTGTGGTGTGTGTGAGTGGGTGGTAGGGTGTGTGTGCGTGTGTAATGGGTAGGTTTAGGGGTCGGGTTAGTGTGTGGTGTGTGGTGTGTGTGAGTGGGTGGTAGGGTGTGTGTGTGTAATGGGTAGGTTTAGGGGTCGGGTTAGTGTGTGTGAGTGTGTGTGGTGTGTGTGAGAGTGTGAGTGGGTGGTAGTGTGTGTGTGTGTGTGTGGGGGGGGGTCAGGTTAGTGTGTGTGAGTGTGTGTGTGGTGTGTGTGAGTGGGTGGTAGTGTGTGTGTGTGTGTGTGTGGGGGGGGGGGGGGTAGGGTTAGTGTGTGTGAGTGTGTGTGTGGTGTGTGTGGTGTGTGTGAGAGTGTGAGTGGGTGGTAGTGTGTGTGTGTGTGTGGGGGGGGGGTCAGGTTAGTGTGTGTGAGTGTGTGTGTGGTGTGTGTGAGTGGGTGGTAGTGTGTGTGTGTGTGTGTGTGGGGGGGGGGGTAGGGTTAGTGTGTGTGAGTGTGTGTGTGGTGTGTGTGAGTGGGTGGTAGTGTGTGTGTGTGTGTCGGGGGGGGGGGGGTGTAGGGAATAGAAAATACAGTTTGTACAGTATAAAAATCATTGCGCCTATGGAATGTCCTCAAGTATAGCAAACCAAACCTGTGTGTGCGTGCGAAAAAAACATTTTCATTACTTGCAATAAAATGAGTATTAACTGAAATAAACTAAAATATTCATAAAAAAATATTCATAAACAAGTTCTTTCTTTTAGTTTTATTTTCTAAACGACTAAATAAACAATTAATAGAAACCGTATAGACATGTTTTAACAACAAAAACTTAATAAAATTGGAAACATAAAAATAAAGATTAATGCACAATATTAATGGAAAGTATAATAGTGTCTCAATGATACTAAAAGTAACGTTTTGGAACATTATCAACACGTTCTCCTGCATACGATATTCCTGTCAGCTGTGTTGGGGAATGTGTCTTCAGATGTGAGAGATGATGATGCGGATTCCTCAATCCTACACAAACACACCTGATGTCGGAGTGTGTGTTTACTATGCGCTCGGCCCGTGTGTGTTCTCCCTCAGATCACATGTTTCAGACACACTGATGTAAACACTCGCATGTTCCCCGGGGCGGTGTGTAAACGCAGTGTATGAGGTCGAGGCCGCCGGTTTATACGAACTCTGCTGGGTTTTATTGAGACAAACAGCAGCTGTATTTAGATCCGCCCTTCACGGAGATCAAATGAGCGTTTCTCTGTTTCTCTGTTTGACTCGCTGAGATTTATGCGTCTCCATCCAAACCTCCAACAAAGGTGTTTCATCAGACGGAGACGCTGTACACACACACACACTTCAGATTAAAACTGCCTTATATACAGCCAAACCAGAATGTATTCAGACTCCTTCAACATTTCTCACATTATCAGTTTATTCGCTATAGTTTATAAATGGTGATAAATATGAGCAGAACTCAGAGTTCTCAGATCAGTGGATATTTGACTGGTTTTGTCCGTCCTTCTGTTAGACTCTCACACATGAATTATGTTGAATATCTGTCAGCTGTTAAATTTAACTACACAATTAGATAATACCAGTTTAGCTCAACCAGTGACCAAGCAATGCTTCATGTTGTTCAGTGTGTGTGTAAAAAGAGCATTAGCAATTACAGAAAACACACTTCAGCAGAACATGATCAGCTCAAAGTGGAGGAATCATTTCTGCTCCCAAATTTGTATAAATGTTACTGGTAGTCACTGTATGAAGAGTGTTTGGGTATAATATGTCACAGTTTACTTTATTTTGCTCTCCTCACTTACAGAAATGAACTATAGTGTCCTGCACACACTAGTAAAGAAATATAAAAACTGATATCTGGTGTGTGAATAATGTTTGGTTAGACTGTAGCTGAAGATTGCATATTCATTTCATTTCATTTCATTTATAATACAGGAAAATTCAACAGCAACAGTATAGTTACAGTAAAACGGGCCTGGCTCAGTTTAAAAACTGGTTTACAGCAGGTTCCTGTTCTGCAGCAACATAGAACAATAAACAGAATTTCAGCACATGTATACAAGACATTGTTATTGACTAGATAGATATAAACAAAACATAAAATACGGAAAAACAAGACTAAAAACAGTACAGGAGCAATCAATGTGTGCAAGTTTGACTAGTCAGAAGAAACTGTTTATATGACTTTTTGAAATATGGGAAGGACGATAATGTTCGAATTTGATAAGGAATGTCATTCCAAATTTTAGTGTAAGTATAGAAAAACAATTTCTGACCATAGTTATTTTTGTACTGTGGAACTGGAATGAGTGCCTGCGAGACTGACCGAGTAAGGCGTAGTGGTCTCGAAGTTTGTGTCGGGAGAAGACTTGTAAGTGCAGGTGAAGAGCTATTTTGAATACGAAAATAAAAAGCAAGAGCATGGCTGTTTACAAAGTTCTGATAAGTCAGAGCATTTGTGCGTGTGAGCGCACTGCAATGATGAGACCATTTTGGGAGATTACAGTGGATCTTAAGTGCTCTGTAATACAGTCGTGCTATAGGTTCCGTAATGTCCGTAATATGTGTGTCGTAATCTGCTTTTGTCAGAACTTTGAATAAAGTCTAATTAAAATGTGCAGTTAGTGCAGATGCTCTGATCCACAGATGCACCCATAGCTGTGTTTCCATCAAAGTTATGAATTTACCTTGGAATAGTGCATAAAACATGTTCAAGAGAACAAAAGCGTCACACAATATCAGTAATAAACTAAGTTTCTGGTTGTGTCTCCCTCCATCATAAACGAGTGTGTGTCGCGTCAGGCGAAACACAGTAAACGCTGTCGTGTTCTCTGGCGTTCGGATGCTGGTGTTCGGGAACACACTCGTGTGTGCGAGACGCTTCTGGAGGGAATTACACCCAATCACTCTGACACACCCACACACTTCCACTTTCAGAAACACCAAACCAACATTAGAGACGCTGCGACGCCATTGGTCCGCTGGTTACTCCAGTTATCCAATCACAGCTGAGGGTTAAAGTCCCCGTGAACCGGAAGTTGCAAACGACTTTTCTCCAGTGTTGTGACGTATTTCCGAGAGAAACGGAATACTAAATGAGGCAAAATGGTGGGCGTGGCTTTTCCCCAACTAGCACCTGATTGGATCTAGAAAAGTAGGTGTTTTCATTCAGCCTGTCTACTGTCAGTTGGAGGGGCGTGATTACGGATGTTAAGCAGACGCCCAAACCGTCAAACCTACGTCATCAGGCAAGGTCCTCCAACGCAGAGGGGAGGGGAAATTTCAGATTTTGATTAAAGACTACTAAGCCCAAAAAATTTTTTGTGTGGATTGACTTGCATGGATGAATTGTTCACCACAAAACGATCAATTTAGGCAAACAAAGTAAGTATGGTCAATTTTGAATTCATGGGGACTTTAAGTTACGCATCGAGGGATTTATTCAGTAAACGTTTTCCCATCAGTTTATATGCATGTCTAATCGGATAAAACAATTACCCGCCTCAATTGAGTGCATATGTTTTTATGTGCATTTTTTTAATTTATGCACATTTTGACATTTCAATCCAGTGTTTTTTTATGTGATATCCAAAAACAAGGTGGATGGAAGCACAGCTGGTGGGGAAAGAGTTCATGTTGAGGTCAACAAAGTAACATAATTTGGACACTTTCTACACTGTGACTGAAAGACAATAATAATAATAATAATTATAATTATAATAATAATAATAGTTACTCATACTATTATTATTCATATTGTATTTATTCTCATATTCTCTTCTCAATGTCTCTAAATAAAATAATAATGGCATTGAACAGATGGGGCGTTCTCTTCACACACACACACACACACACTGAGATGATCTGAGTGCTCGCTGGGCCTCGTCACAATCTCACAAACCGGCCAACATCAACAAGTGAAGGACATAACTCTCACACACTACTGAGTGTGACGTGTGTGTGTGCCCAGCAGAGAACCTGATTGAAAGCAGTCCCTGCACTGCTGCTGGCAGCTCACGTGCTCAGATATCAGGTCAGTTACACACACACACACACCCTCTCTCTCTCTCTCTCTCTCTCACACACACACACTTGGATAATTGTATTCACTCAAACACTCTCTCTCACACACACACCGTTATACTTTCCATTAATATTGTGAATTAATCTTTATTTTTATATTTCCAGTAAACAAAGTTTTTGTTGTTAAAACATGTCTAAATAGTTTTTATAAATTGTTATTTATGTTTAAGTTTTAGTTCGTTTAGAACATAAAACTAAATGAAAGAAAGAGAACTTGGTAACTAGTTGAAATAAAAAAAGTTTCATTTTTGTATTTTATTTCAAATAATGAAAATGTTTTTGTTTTTTTATGGTTTTGATTTCAGTTTTAGTTAACTATAATAATAACCCAGTCTAGTATAATTTAATGTGTCACATGTTCCATGAATCCATGAATTTTTGTGCTAATATTTTGAGAACATTATTAAACACCAGATCACGTTCTATTAATGTTACCGGAAGAACGTTTGATCAATACTTTGCCAAAACATTCCCTGTCAGCTGAGAAGAGGCTTTAGTTTTCAGGAGTTTCTGAAGCATCTTATAACTCTATATGAAAAGGATCTAATAACTCTAATAATACCTGTGATGGCGGCTTGTTTAAGTGTGGAATGGACCGCGATGATGTTCTTCTCCACCAGCTCCAGTGGACCGGGTCTGAGAGAGATCTTCTCGTTCAGGTCATCAGCAAACCTGGCTCTCTTCAGTGTGTTCTGAGAGTCTTCACCAACTGGATCTGTGTAATAAACACAAGCTCTTCACTCAAACACACACATGAAACACAAGCTCTTCACTCAAACACACTCATGAAACACAAGCTCTTCCCTCAAACACACACATGAAACACAAGCTCTTCCGTCAAACGCACACATGAAACACAAGCTCTTCACTCAAACACACACATGAAACACAAGCTCTTCACTCAAACACACTCATGAAACACAAGCTCTTCCCTCAAACACACACATGAAACACAAGCTCTTCCGTCAAACGCACACATGAAACACAAGCTCTATGCTCAAACACACACATGAAACACAAACTCTTCCCTCAAACACACACATGAAACACAAGCTCTTCACTCAAACACACACATGAAACACAAGCTCTTCACTCAAACACACACATGAAACACAAGCTCTTCCCTCAAACACACACATGAAACACAAGCTCTTCACTCAAACACACACATGAAACACAAGCTCTTCCCTCAAACACACACATGAAACACAAGCTCTTCACTCAAACACACACATGAAACAAAAGCTCTTCACTCAAACACACACATGAAACACAAGCTCTATACTCAAACACACACATGAAACACAAGCTCTTCCCTCAAACACACACATGAAACACAAGCTCTTCCCTCAAACACACACGAAACACAAGCTCTATATTAAAACACACACATGAAACAGAAGCTCTTCCCTCAAACACACACATGAAACAAAAGCTCTTCCCTCAAACACACACATGAAACACAAGCTCTTCCCTCAAACACACACATGAAACACAAGCTCTTCCCTCAAACGCACACATGAAACACAAGCTCTTCCCTCAAACACACACATGAAACACAAGCTCTTCCCTCAAACACACACATGAAACACAAGCTCTTCCCTTAAACGCACACATGAAACACAAGCTCTTCCCTCAAACGCACACATGAAACACAAGCTCTTCCCTCAAACACACACATGAAACACAAGCTCTTCCCTCAAACACACACATGAAACACAAGCTCTTCCCTCAAACGCACATGAAACACAAGCTCTTCCCTCAAACGCACACATGAAACACAAGCTCTTCCCTCAAACACACACATGAAACACAAGCTCTTCCCTCAAACGCACATGAAACACAAGCTCTTCCCTCAAACGCACACATGAAACACAAGCTCTTCCCTTAAACGCACACATGAAACACAAGCTCTTCCCTCAAACGCACACATGAAACACAAGCTCTTCCCTCAAACACACACATGAAACACAAGCTCTTCCCTCAAACGCACATGAAACACAAGCTCTTCCCTCAAACACACACATGAAACACAAGCTCTTCCCTTAAACGCACACATGAAACACAAGCTCTTCCCTCAAACGCACACATGAAACACAAGCTCTTCCCTCAAACACACACATGAAACACAAGCTCTTCCCTCAAACACACACATGAAACACAAGCTCTTCCCTCAAACGCACACATGAAACACAAGCTCTTCCCTCAAACACACACATGAAACACAAGCTCTTCCCTCAAACGCACATGAAACACAAGCTCTTCCCTTAAACGCACACATGAAACACAAGCTCTTCCCTTAAACGCACACATGAAACACAAGCTCTTCCCTCAAACACACACATGAAACACAAGCTCTTCCCTCAAACACACACATGAAACACAAGCTCTTCCCTCAAACACACACATGAAACACAAGCTCTTCCCTCAAACACACACATGAAACACAAGCTCTTCCCTCAAACGCACATGAAACACAAGCTCTTCCCTCAAACGCACACATGAAACACAAGCTCTTCCCTCAAACACACACATGAAACAAGCTCTTCCCTCAAACACACACATGAAACACAAGCTCTTCCCTCAAACGCACATGAAACACAAGCTCTTCCCTCAAACGCACACATGAAACACAAGCTCTTCCCTCAAACGCACACATGAAACACAAGCTCTTCCCTCAAACACACACATGAAACACAAGCTCTTCCCTCAAACGCACATGAAACACAAGCTCTTCCCTCAAACGCACACATGAAACACAAGCTCTTCCCTCAAACGCACATGAAACACAAGCTCTTCCCTCAAACACACACACATGAAACACAAGCTCTTCCCTCAAACACACACATGAAACACAAGCTCTTCCCTCAAACGCACATGAAACACAAGCTCTTCCCTCAAAGGCACACATGAAACACAAGCTCTTCCCTCAAACACACACACATGAAACACAAGCTCTTCCCTCAAACACACACATGAAACACAAGCTCTTCCCTCAAACGCACATGAAACACAAGCTCTTCCCTCAAAGGCACACATGAAACACAAGCTCTTCCCTCAAAGGCACACATGAAACACAAGCTCTTCCCTCAAACACACACATGAAACACAAGCTCTTCCCTCAAACACACACATGAAACACAAGCTCTTCCCTCAAACACACACATGAAACACAAGCTCTTCCCTCAAACACACACATGAAACACAAGCTCTTCCCTCAAACACACACATGAAACACAAGCTCTTCCCTCAAACGCACACATGAAACACAAGCTCTTCCCTTAAACGCACACATGAAACACAAGCTCTTCCCTCAAACACACACATGAAACACAAGCTCTTCACTCAAACACACACATGAAACAAGGTCTATATTAAAAAACACAAATGAAACAAGCTCTATACTCAAACACACACATGAAACACACACATGAAACACAAACTCTTCCCTCAAACACACACATGAAACACAAGCTCTTCCCTCAAACACACACATGAAACACAAGCTCTTCCCTCAAACACACACATGAAACACAAGCTATTCCCTCAAACACACACATGAAACACAAGCTCTTCCCTCAAACGCACACATGAAACACAAGCTCTTCCCTCAAACACACACATGAAACACAAGCTCTTCCCTCAAACGCACACATGAAACACAAACTCTTCCCTCAAACACACACATGAAACACAAGCTCTTCCCTCAAACACACACATGAAACACAAGCTCTTCCCTCAAACACACACATGAAACACAAGCTATTCCCTCAAACACACACATGAAACACAAGCTCTTCCCTCAAACACACACATGAAACACAAGCTCTTCCCTCAAACACACACATGAAACACAAGCTCTTCACTCAAACACACACATGAAACACAAGCTCTATGCTCAAACACACACATGAAACACACACATGAAACACAAACTCTTCCCTCAAACACACACATGAAACACAAGCTCTTCCCTCAAACGCACACATGAAACACAAGCTCTATACTCAAACACACACATGAAACACACACATGAAACACAAGCTCTTCACTCAAACACACACATGAAACACAAGCTCTATGCTCAAACACACACATGAAACACACACATGAAACACAAGCTCTTCCCTCAAACACACACATGAAACACAAGCTCTTCCCTCAAACGCACACATGAAACAAAAGCTCTATGCTCAAACACACACATGAAACAAACTCTTCCCTCAAACACACACATGAAACACAAGCTCTTCACTCAAACACACACATGAAACACAAGCTCTTCCCTCAAACACACACATGAAACACAAACTCTTCCCTCAAACACACACATGAAACACAAGCTCTTCACTCAAACACACACATGAAACAAAAGCTCTTCACTCAAAAACACACATGAAACACAAGCTCTATACTCAAACACACACATGAAACACAAGCTCTTCCCTCAAACACACACATGAAACACAAGCTCTTCCCTCAAACACACACATGAAACACAAGCTCTTCCCTCAAACACACATGAAACACAAGCTCTATATTAAAACACACACATGAAACAAAAGCTCTTCCCTCAAACACACACATGAAACACAAGCTCTTCCCTCAAACACACACATGAAACAAGCTCTTCCCTCAAACACACACATGAAACACAAGCTCTTCACTCAAACACACACATGAAACAAAAGCTCTTCCCTCAAACACACACATGAAACACAAGCTCTTCCCTCAAACACACACATGAAACACAAGCTCTTCCCTCAAACGCACACATGAAACACAAGCTCTTCCCTCAAACACACACATGAAACACAAGCTCTTCCCTCAAACACACACATGAAACACAAGCTCTTCCCTTAAACGCACACATGAAACACAAGCTCTTCCCTCAAACGCACACATGAAACACAAGCTCTTCCCTCAAAGGCACACATGAAACACAAGCTCTTCCCTCAAACGCACATGAAACAAGCTCTTCCCTCAAACACACACATGAAACAAAAGCTCTTCCCTCAAACACACACATGAAACACAAGCTCTTCCCTCAAACACACACATGAAACACAAGCTCTTCCCTCAAACGCACATGAAACACAAGCTCTTCCCTCAAACGCACACATGAAACACAAGCTCTTCCCTCAAACGCACACATGAAACACAAGCTCTTCCCTTAAACGCACACATGAAACACAAGCTATTCCCTCAAACACACACATGAAACACAAGCTCTTCCCTCAAACGCACACATGAAACACAAGCTCTTCCCTTAAACGCACACATGAAACACAAGCTCTTCCCTCAAACGCACACATGAAACACAAGCTCTTCCCTTAAACGCACTCATGAAACACAAGCTCTTCCCTCAAACGCACATGAAACACAAGCTCTTCCCTCAAACGCACACATGAAACACAAGCTCTTCCCTCAAAGGCACACATGAAACACAAGCTCTTCCCTCAAACACACACATGAAACACAAGCTATTCCCTCAAACACACACATGAAACACAAGCTCTTCCCTCAAACACACACATGAAACACAAGCTCTTCCCTCAAAGGCACACATGAAACACAAGCTCTTCCCTCAAACACACACATGAAACACAAGCTCTTCCCTCAAACACACACATGAAACACAAGCTCTTCCCTCAAACGCACACATGAAACACAAGCTCTTCCCTCAAACACACACATGAAACACAAGCTCTTCCC